AGCAAGGACTGAGCACCGGAGCCATGCCGGCTGCTCCGTGCCCTGGCTCGCTTTGTCCTCACAGCCACAACCCGTTTGCTTCCGCAGGCTCTGGCAGCTGTTCATCTGCAGCTCCTGTGGCTCAGAAGGCACGCACTGGTGCTGCTCCTTCTGGGCCATGGGCAGAAATGGCTGGGAGTGCGACACCTGCGCTGGCAGGAGCACCGGTAAGAGGCAAAGAGCCGCGTGCCGCGGGACTGGGGCCAGGCGAGGCCTGGCAACGGGTGCTCAGGGTGGCCTCGCCACAGTCTCTCTCTGCCCCATGAGGGATGGCAGCCTGTCCTGCCCTGGGGCTGCATGTTCACCCTGCTGAGCTTCCTGTCTCTCCTTACAGCCTCCCGCTCCAGCGCCGAGCTTGCCAGCCCCAGCACTTCCAGCCAGGAGGTATCGGCGCCTTCCCCCGTCTTTGCAGGACCTGAAAACATCAGCTCTGGCCCTGCTACGCAGGCAGCTCCCGGCCCATCCTGCAACTCCCAGCTGCCTGCGCTCAGCGTCCAGCCCAGAGTGCCAGAGGCTGAGCAGACCGCCACCCGCTCACATCTCTCTGAGGAGCGGGACGCATCTCAGCAGCGCCAAGGACGCGGTGCAGGAAGACGGGCACCAGCTGCAGGCACTGAGACCTCCTCCGAGAGCCCCAGAAGACGGAGGACCGCACGGTCCTCCAGAACCTCCCTGGCAGATGCAGCCAGAAATCGTCCCAGGCAGCGGGAGACCGGCCGCACAAGAAGCCGCTCCCCATTGCGAGGCCGGGCCTCGGGCTCCCAGAGTCGGCCCCGAAGACAACGTGGTGGGAGCCGTACCACAGCCCAAGCTACTCAGGGCGGCACCTGCACCTCGGCCACACCAGCACCACCGAGGTCCTCGAGGCCTTCCCCTCCGCCTGCACACAGAGGACGGCCCAGGCAACGAGGGCGGGCCCCCACTCGAAGCCGATCCCCAGTGGGGCGTCGCGCTTCCACTTCCCGCAGCCGGTCCCGACGAGGCCGTGGGAGCCGGTCCAGGCAGCGGGGACCAGCCCGGGCACGAAGCCGCTCCCGGGCAAACCACCCGGGAAGGCGGCCCCGCAGCCAGTCCCGAAGACGGCGCTGATGCAGCCGTGTCCCATCCCCACGTGACGTGGGCTGTGGTCCCAAGCGGCACAGAAGATCAACCTTGAAGAGAGTCCACACGTTCCACCTTCATCCTTCGGTGGACCAGCCCGGGCACAAAGCCGCTCCCGGGTCCAGCATCGCAGAAGACATCCCCACAACCAGTCCCAAAGTCGGCTTCCAGCAGCCGTGTCCATCCCCACGTGACGGTTGTGATTCCATCTTTCCCAAAAAATACACCTTCAACACCCTCCCCACATGTTGGCGTCACTCGTCTCTGTTTGTCCTGCGGTAGGCAGTGTTAGGAGCTGAGACCACAGGGTCGTCTTCTCCCAGCACCTTCCCAGATGGTTGCCGTGGCGTTATCTTTCTAATTCTACCTGTGTCCCTGAAGGGGGGCAGCGGGCCCTCAGGCCCACAGGCAGCATGTGCGCAGCACCCACAGCATACTGCAGCGGCAGGTGTGGGAGCTTGTGCAGGACGTCACAGAAGTACCGTCCCTCCTCACTTTTGAGACATTTTTGCCCACTGGCAGTCTCCAAGACCACAGATCTACCATGGGGTCCTTCCTCCAGGCAACAAGCTTTCCCCGCAAAGACTCCATCCTCACCCAGATGGAGGCCCTGCCCAAGAACGTGGCTGTTCAGGTCTCCGGCTGCACGGAATGCCTGAGCCTGCTGCTGCCCGGCGAGGGAGGCAGGAACTGTGTGAGGGTGTGAGCAGGTGGAAGATCTGCTCAGCATGATGGCAGAGCTCAAGGAGGAAGTGGAGACGTTACAGAGCATCAGGGAGTGAGAGCAAGAGATTGACTGTGGACTAACTCCCAGGCGTGCCAGAGAGGAAGGCGCCAGGGAGACAGCCCCCAGAAAGTGAGGGACCTCACGTCCTGTCACCGTCGGGCAGAGACCGGGGTTCTGAGAGATGGGGAGAACTGGAAGACAGTCCCAGCTCAGCATTGTGGGTGAACCCCTTCCTTGGCAACGTTACTTGCCCAGGTGCCCCTA